AACCCGGGAGGCAGAGGTTGCAGTGAGCCGAGATCTCACCACTGCACTCCAGCCTGGGCGACAGAGCGAGACTCCATCTCAAAATAAACAGATAAATAAATAAATAAATAAATAAATAAAATAAACAGTGATTGAACCTACTATGTGCCAAGCACCTTCTAGAAACTAAGGATACAGAGGTAGACAAGGTTGACTGATCTCTAGCCTTCATGGAACATCCAGAATGATAGATATTCTCATCTCTTCCCTTACTCTATGCAAATAAAATGCTTTATATACATATACATATATATACACACACACACACATAAAGTGTATAAAGCACATATATATAATATATATGATAAAGCACACATATATATATGCCTTATACATAAACAAGTAAGTTTTCACCCTTATAGGAACTAATTTTTGCCGGGCACAGTAGCTCACACCTATATTCCCAGCACTTTGGGAGGCCAAGGCGGGCGGATCACCTGAGGTCAGGAGTTCAAGACCACCCTGGCCAACATGGCAAAACCCCGTATCTAGTAAAAATATAAAAATTAGCTGGGTGTGGTGGCAGGTGCCCGGTAATCCCAGCTGCTTGGGGGAGGCTGAGGCATGAGAATCACTTGAATCCGGGAGGCGGAGGTTGCAGTGAGCTGAGATTGCGCCACTGGAGTCCAGCCTGGGGGATAGAGCAAGACTCCATCTCAAAAACAAACAAACCAACCATCTTTTTTTGTGGTCTCAGCAGCAATGTTCTTCCTGTTGAGAATGCATATTCTAGGACTACTGAAATAGCTATATCATTATTTCCAGGTTCTCATAGCTAGGACAACAGTGCAGATCTCCAGGACAATTCTGAACAATGAAATTTGCTTCTTTTTCACAGAAGATGTTTTATTAAATATATAACTGTGATTCAATTTAAAAGCACAAGACATTTTCTATACACAAATTGAGAAATCTTCAAAACAACGACAAAAATAGAGCCAGCATCTGGCCTTCCAATTTGGAATATCTGGAGTCCTAAAATGCAGTCAACACTTACTCTATCCGAATGTTGTCATCAAGCTCCACATCCTCTAGAAATTTGTTAGCCACTAACTCTAGGGCATCCCTGGGCCAGGACTGGAACCAATCAATCGTACAGCAATTGATCAGCGAAGGGAACATCCGCAGGCGGTTCCTGAAGGCATCCCCAATTGGACTCATGGCTAATGAAAAGGAGATTTTGTTAATTACCTCCCTCTGAGGCAGGTGGACCCAAGGAGGCAGGCTGGTATTCCCAAGGATTCTGGTGGGGTAAGTAGGGGCATGCATCCTCTTGGCGCTCCAGGGATGTGACTGTGAATGCTCATAATAACTGCCTGGGAAGTGTGGGCTAATTAGTGGGATATTTTCACTTAACTTTGTGAGGAGCTATCAGCCCATTACAATAGCCTTTTTTAAAAAAAAAAAATTGTTCTTATTTTTTATTAAGACAGATTCTTGCTCTGTCACCCAGACTGGAGTGCAGTGGTGTGATCTCGGCTCACTGCAACCTCCGCCTCCCGGGTTCAAGCTATTCTCCTGCCTCAGCCTCCTGAGTAGCTGGGACTACAGGAACCCACCACCACGCCCAGCTAATTTTTGTATTTTTAGTAGAGACGGGGTTTCACCATGTTGGCCAGGCTGGTCTCAAACTCCTGACCTCAAGTGATCTGCCTGCCTCAGCCTCCCAAAGTGCTGGGATTACAGGCGTGAGCCACCATGCCTGAGTCTATTACCTTCTAACTGGTCTCCTATACACCCTATTGTTCCTTCTGCATCCTTTGGGTCGTGTAGCCAGAGTGGCCGGAGCCCTTTGACCCACTTGCTGTATTTGTGCTGACATACGGGAGCCATACACTGTTACTTATAGAAGTTGCTGTGAGGTCATCTGTTTCTGATCCTATCTCCCGCCAATCACAAATTTTGGGTTCCACACTTACAATTCCATTCATTGTTTATTTAGACGATGTGTGGCGGAAGGGAGCATGATGTCTAGGTGAAGTGAAAGGTCAGTGAGGGTAAAGAACAGAGGCCTGGCACAGTGGCTCACGCCTATAGTCCCAACACTTTGGGAGGCTGAGGCAGGAAGATCATTTGAGCCCAGGAGTTTGAGACCAGCCTGAGCAACAAAGTGAACCCCACACCCCTGTCTCTACAAAAATGGAAAAAATTAGCTGGGCTTGGTGGTATGTGCCTGTAGTCCCAGGTACTCAGGAGGCTGAGGTGAGAGAATCACTTGAGCCCAGGAAGTTGAGGCTGCAGTGAGCTAGAACCACATCACTACACTCCAGCCTGGGTGACAGAGCAAGACCCTATCTCAAAAAAAAAAGAAAAAAAAAAAAAAAAAAGAAAAAGAAAAAGAACAAAGAGAAAGGGGGATGGTTTGAAATGATGAAGGTGGAGAGGATACAGAGGACAGTCTGGCAGGTGGCCTTATGGCCCTATGAGACTGCAGGACTGCAGGTTAGTAATTTTGGCCCTTATCCCAATGTGTGTGTGTGTATGCATGCATGAACACAATGATATTTGCAGCATATGAAAAAAATCAGCCTGGCTTCATGGAACAGACAAGAATGGAGCTAGAATGATCAGAAAGTTGCAGAGGTGAGCCTGGGTAAGAGGACGGCAGCCTAGCTAATGTGAAGGTGATGGAGATAGAGATAAGAGAGACAACTGGAGGTAAAATAGACAGGACTTGGTAAAGAAAGGGAAGTACTAAACACCATTGCTAGGTTTCTAGATAGATTGCGAATGTCATTCACAGAGAAAACCCCAGATGTCATTCTGTGCAAGGGTAATTCTCAGAGGAGAATTCAGGGAATTGAAGAGAGAGGGACAGGTTTGAAATTGTTCAGGGTCCGGCATGGTGGCTTATGCCTGTAATCCCAGCACTTCGGGAGGCCAAGGTGGGCAGATCACTTGAGGCCAGGAGTTTGAGACTAGCCTGGCCAACATGGTGAAACCCTCTCTCTATTAAAAATACAAAAATTAGCAGGTGTGGCACGCGCCTGTAATAGCAGCTACTCCGGGGGCTTAGGCACCAGAATCGCTTGAAACTGGGAGGCAGAGGTTACGTACAGCGAGCTGAGATCTCACCACTGCACTCCAGCCTGGGCGACAGAGCAAGACTGTCTCTAAAAAAAAATGCTGTTTGGAAGAGAGGAAAAAGTTGCCAGAGGAACTCCAGGCCCTGACCCCGAGCTGGTGCATTGGCTAGATCAACCCTGGGACCATTGTAAGGGATTGCATTGCTCAGGGCACTCGGAAGACCCCAAAACACCCAGAGGAGCAAGGGCAAATGGAGTTTTCTTCTTCTTACCAAGGACAATGTGAAGGTTCTTTCTCACCCTCTCAATAAAGAAGTTATACATAGAAAGAGGAGTGGCTTCAACCTTCTCTCCTTGGGTCCTGGCTGCCGTCTGCATCTTCTCCACGATGTCAGCCTTCTCATCAGCAGGGAAGATGTTAGGCACATCGCCTGTGTTCAGAAGCATGTTGATGTCCTCCACAAATGACTCGTCCTTGATCTGATTGTCGGCAAAGAGGAACACGGTGCTTTTGGTGGCCACACCAACCTGCAGCATGATCTTCTTAAGGTCTTCTCGCCAGTCATTGCCTGTGTAGTTCTTGGTGATCTCGATCTGGTATAGCTCATATGTGTTCATGAATGTGGACAGTTTGGTGGCACTCTGCCGCCCACTGCCCCCTATGCCCACCAGGAGCAGGTGGCCTTTGTCCTGCTTCAGGACACGGCAGATCCTGGAGATGTGCTCAATGGCAAACCTGAACATGACCAGGGACATGGGGGCCTTGCTGATGTTGTTGAATTCTTCCAGATAGTGCTCCATGACCACAGTCAGCTGTTTCAGGTCAGTGATCTCATCGTAGATTTTTTTATCACTTTCTGGCTTGAAATAATCTCCAAAAAAGAGGCTTCGAATGTTATCATCGACAATCTTTCCAGTGGGTGACAAATGGATAAGCACCTGTGAGAAAAGTAAATCTCAGCTGGGCATTCAGCGAATGGCCCAGCCAGGCTGGTAGGGAGAGCATGGAGGGAGGGCATGGGAGACGTGCTTATTTCCTCTGCGCACATCCTTCAAGCCCATGGATCATCAGTCTTTGTTTTGTTTTGTTTTGTTTTGAGACGGAGTCTCACACTGTCGTCCAGGCTGGAGTGCAATGGCGCAATCTCGGCTCACTGCAACCTCTGCCTCCTGGGTTCAAGCGATTCTCCTGCCTCAGCCTCCCAAGCAGCTGGGATTACAGGCACGCTCCATCATGCCTGGCTAATTTTTGTATTTTTGTAGAGATGGGGTTTCATCATGTTGGCCAGGCTGGTCTTGAACTCCTGAGCTCAGGTGATCTGCCCAGCTCGTCCTCCCAAAGTGCTAGGATTACAGGCATGAGACAGTATGCCCAGCCCAGTCTTTTTGTGTTTTAAACATAATGTGTGGATTTCATGCTTGTAAAGACTATAATGAAAGAACATTGCTGCGCATGGTGGCTCATGCCTGAGCACTTTGGGAGGCCGAGGCAGAAGGATCATTTGAGCTCAGGACTTCAAGACCAGCCTGGGCAACATAGTGAGACCCAGTCTCTACAATAAAGTAAGAAAAAATTAGCTGGGCATCATGGTGCACACCTGTAATCCCTGCTACTCAGGAGGCTGAGGTGGAAGACTGCTTGAGCCCAGGAGTTTGAGGCTGCACTGAGCTATGATCATACCATTGCACTCCAGCGTGGGTGACAGAATGAGGTCCTACCTCTAAAAATAAATAATTATTTGTTAAAAGAAAGGACATTAGAGTATAAACGCTTGAATCAGTCTATTTACCAAGTGATTAAAACATTGGTAGTCAGTTTGTATGGTCCCCAGAAAAGACAGCTGAAGGATGGCATCATTTCTTCTGTGCTTGATCCTCCACCAACTAGAGGTATAGACACTACCCCTGTTCCCCACTCTGTGCCTGAAGTAGGAATGTTTTAGATGCCTCCTCTTCCTATGTTAGAACCCAGTGACGCTTTTGCACTTGGCCTCTGAACGCAAGATGAAACACTTGAAATTTTTCTATGGAGAAATCACAGCTTCCTAGCAGTGAAAGAATAACCAGATGATGCAAATATAGATGTTTAAAACAACTTTTCTTATATGAAAATGGAAAAGAGAAAATATTCGCACCTGGAAGACCATAACAATCTTCCACTTGGGCTTTATAGGACCTCAGTCAAATCATGACAATGTATAATACAGTTCATTTCTCAAGTCACCAATTAATTGATCCTAAAAATGTGTTTAAGGTCATTATAAACAAATAATGTTATTGTAAATGTTAAGCCATTTTGATTGGATTCAAACTTATATGTTACAACAGAAGGGAAGCAACGTTGGACCGAGTGAAATATCACCAAATCAAAAGAGCAGTTGACTCAATACTGTTTCCTGAGATTCAGAGTGCAGAGCTGGGAGTCTCCAACAGGAAGGGAACCTGAAATCTGAGAGTAACATAGTTAAACACTTGGAACCATTTCTGAGGCCAAATGATCACAGAATCTGATTTACCTTCTCTACGGACTGCTTGAAGCAATTAGAGGTGGTTTCCTTCACCATGTTGAAGAAGACCTCTCTGTCCTCCTTGTCAATCAGACGGTCATAGAAGACCCGATAAACCTCATGGATCCAAAGTCGGATACATTTTTCTACATCCTAAAAATCCAGAGTTAATTATTCAAACGAGTGGAAGATGGTCCCTGAGGTCGTAGTTCTCAAATAGTAGCTAAGTCCTGGGGTTGATGTGAGGATTGAACTAGATAATGTTTATAAAATGCTTAGCACAACGCCTAGCATAGATGAAGTGCTTAATAAAAGTTAGCTATTACTGCTATTACTACATGTTCCATGTAGCCAAGGACATGCTGAATGATTTTGGTAGTCAAATGATAGTGACTGACCTGCAGGTGTGTGTGAGGGCACAGCAGGACCCCTTGAATCACTCGTGAGAAGTCCCGCAGGTTAAAGACGTAATGTGACTTAGAGGGAGTTGGCAAGAAGTTCTCCACTGCCTCTCTATAAATTGTCTTAGTAGCTTGGACCAGCATCTTTCCATACCTTGGGAGGAAAGGGATGGCACAGTATTCAAGGAGGGGCCGGAAACTGAGAACCCCCAGCCCAATATCCGGGAAGACGTGGGAACCTCTTACCTTAAGAACATCACATCAAACCCTTTCCCGAAGTGCCAGTCAACAATCGAACTGAAAATCTTGGTTAAAATGTCATCCTCAAAGGCATTGATGGAAACGATATTCATATGGCGAGTGAATCGTCCTGGGGGACACAACGCACAAGTGAATCATCCTGGAAAACACATATTCTCACACTGTCTGTGACCCTAGGATGCAGGAGAGTTGGCTTAGCCTTCTGGCTTCATGTTCTAGAGCTGTGCTGTGCAATATGGCAGCTTCTAGTCACCTGCAGCAATTTAAACTTAAATTAATTAATATTAAATAACATTAAAAATGCTCTTCCTTAGTCTCGCCACACTTCAAGTGCTCAAGAGCCACATGTGGCTAGTGGCTACTGTATTTCTCAGTACAGATATAGAGCATCGCCATACTGCAGAAGTTCTACTGACCGTGCTAGTTTAGCGTTCAAGATTATTATATTATATTACATTACATTATATTATATTATATATTTTTTTTAGGGATGGAGTCTCGCTTTGTTGCCCTGGCTGGAGTGCAGTGGTGCCATCTCAGCTCACTGAAACCTCTGCCTCCCGGGCTCAAGCGATTCTCCAGCCTCAGCCTCCGGAGTAGCTGGGACTACAGGTGCGCGCCACCATGCCCATCTAATTTTTGTATTTTTAGTAGAGACGGGGTTTCATCATGTTGGCCAGGCTGGTCTCAAACTCCTGACTTCAGGTGATCTGCCGGCCTCGGCCTCCCAAAGTGCTGGGATTGCAGGCATGAGACACTGCACCCAGCCTCAAGATTGTTTTTAAAAGACAAAGGCAATACATGATCATTGTAAAAGAGTCACGATTCAGGAATACTTTTGTTGAAAGTGAAAATCTCCTTCTTTCACTTACTTTATATGCGCCAAATCCATTCTCCCCTACCCAAGGTAACTACTATTAATTTGGTATCCTTATATCATCTATCTATCTAATCTATCTATCATCGTTCTATGTATCTATATATCTATGCATCTATCTGTCTAATCTATCATTATTAGATATCTATATTTACGTACTTATTTATATCGATATATACCAGCTTTATTGATATCCCAATAATAACTCACATATTGTACAATTCGCCCATTTAAAGTACAATTATTCAATGATTTTTAATATATTCAGGGTTGTGCAACCATTATCACAATTTTAGAACATTTTAATTGCGCTAAAAAGAAACCTTGTACCCATTAGCAGTCACTCCCCATTTTCCCATGGTTCTCAGCAACTAATAATCTACTTTCTGTCTCTATAGGTTTGCCTGTATATCTTTAAAACATTTTTTTTGTTACAAGTAAAAGATAGATGCAGAAAACCACACAAAACAAATGTATAGTTTAGCAAGTCATTATAAGGTTAATACTCTTAGCATCTACTGTCAAGATTAAGAAATAGAATTTTGCCGGCCGGGCGTGGTGGCTCACTCCTGTAATCCCAGCACTTTGGGAGGCCAAGGCGGGTAGATCACGAGGTCAAGAGACTGAGACCAGCCTGGCCAACATAGCGAAACCCCGTCTCTACTAAAAATACAAAAATTAGCCGGGCGTGGTGGCACATGCCCATAGTCCCAACTACTCGGGATGTTGAGGCAGAAGAATTGCTTGAACCCAGGAGGCGGAGGTTGCAGTGAGCCGAGATTGTGCCACTGCACTCCAGCCTGAGCGACAGAGCAAGACTCCGTCTCAAAACAAACAGACAAACAAAACAAAAACAAAATAGAATTTTGCCAGCCCTCCACAAAAGCCTCTCAACAGAGCCCATCCCAATCAAACTCTCTCCTTTTCTTCCTCCAAAAGTTATCACTCTTCTGACTTTTATAGTAATTGCTGTCTTGCATTTCCTTCATGGTTTTTACCATCCAAGCATTTCAAGCATTTATTTGTAGACACCAGGGTTTAATTGTTTAATTCTGCCAGTTAACCATATGCTTTTTTTTTTTTTTTTCCCCCTGAGATGGAGTCTCACTCCTATTGCACAGTCTAGAGTGTAGTGGCGCGATCTCGGCTCACTGCAACCTCCATCTCCTTGGTTCAAGCAATTCTCCTTCCTCAACCCCAAGTAGCTGGGATTACAGGCATGCACCACCACGCCCAGCTAATTTTTGTATTTTTAGTAGAGATGGGGTTTTGTCATATTGGCCAGGCTGGTCTCAAACTCCTGACCTCAGGTGATTCACCCGCCTCAGCCTCCCAAACTGCTAGGATTACAGATGTGAGCCTCTGCGCCCGGCCTCATGTGTATTTTTTAAGGTCTCTCTTTAATTTATAGGTTTTTCCCTCCATTCCTTTCTTATGTGTCTTATCTGTTGAAGATCTGGGCTATTTGACTGAGAGTTTTCATAGTCAGGATTTTGTTGATTACACACTTATGATGCAGTTCATCATGTTCCTCTGTCCTCTGTATTTCCTACAAATTCGTAGCTGGATCCAGAGACTTGTTGGGTTTCAGATTTCATCCCTTTGGCCTGGCGCAGTGGCTCATGCCTGTAATCCCAGTACTTTGGGAGGCCGAGGTGGGTGGATCACCTGAGGTCCAGAGTTCGAGACTAGCCTGGCCAACAGGATGAAATCTCATCTCTACTAAAAATACATAAAATTAGTCGGGCATGGTGGCGGGTGCCTGTAATCCCAGCTACTTAGGGAACTGAGGTAGGAGAATCACTCAAACCCGGAGGCAAAGGTTGCAGTGAGCCGAGATCATGCCATTGCACTCCAGCCTGGGCGACAAGAGCGAGACTCTGTCTCAAAAAATAAATTAATTAAATAAAAAAATAAAAAGTTTTTATTGTGATAAAATATATACAACATAAAATTGGCCATTTTAACCATTTGTAAGTGTACAGTTCAGAGGCATCAAGCACATTCACGTTGTTGTGCAACCATCTCCACCATTCATCTACAGAAGCTTCATATTCCCAAATGAAAATTCATTCATTCATTCATTCACTCCTCAATCTCCCCTCCCTTCAGACCTTGACAACCACTATTCTGCTTCTTGTCTCTATCAATTTGACTACTTTGAGTACCTCATATAAGTGGAATCACACAATATTTGTCTTTTTGTGAATGGTTTATTTCACTTAATGATATGGTTTATTTCACTTAAAGACAATAGTGTCTTTAAGTTTCATCCATGTTGTAATATGTCTTTATTTTTGTATTTTAAAAATCTCAGCCTCCCGAGTAGCTGGGACTACAGGCGCAAGCCACCAAGCCCAGCTAATTTTTTAATTTTTAGTAGAGATGGGGTTTTACTATGTTGGCCAGGGTGGTCTCGAACTCCTGGCCTCAAGCGATCTACCCGCTTCAGCCTCCCAAAGTGCTGAGATTACAGGCACGAGCCACTGCGCCCACTTGGTATGAAGGTTCTTAAACAATAATGTATATCAGAATAGAAGTACAGATCTACAGGACTAGGTGGATCAAGTTGCAGGTGAAGCAATATATCCATTGATTCATTTATTTGCTATTTTTTATTGTTATTAATTTTGCTTAGGGCACTTTGGGTTAGGTGTTCTGTCTCTGGCAACCTAAAGAATTATAACAAATACAATGGATGACTGTCGTGCACCCCTAGTTGAGGCTTCTGGATCAAGCCTCCCTCCCAGAACACATGCTGGCCACACTGAACTCTACTTTGCATATGAGACTCTGTTTCTCTGGGGCCTAGCCAAACACTACTCACATCTTCTTGTCATCGTCCCCTCCTATTTCACACCATTTCCAGCATGAAGCCTGTAGCCTAAACACGCTTCTGCTCCACGCTCCGGCCATGTGGTTTGGCAGGAGACTGTGGCACACCGACCCTCCTTTCATAAAGGTGGCCCAGCTCTGCTGGGGATGGAGGGAAAGAGGAATGAGCTCTTTCCTTCACATACCAGTAATGTCATTCCTTCCTCCCCCGGGGGGCCCCATGGCTGTCACGAGCAGCATGTCCACGATGTCCAGCCTGGTTGTGTCTTTCTTGTCAAACCAGTAACCGTGGTCAATCCACTGCCTCAGGAGCTCGATGGGGGGCTGGGCCCCATACACCTCTTTGGCTGGCATGTTGAGGTCATCTGGGGAAAGAAGCCACAGACACAGTCATTGCAAGTTCCATGGCATCCTCTGCTCTCACAGCAGGTAAGAGATGGCAATTCCCCTGCAGGGGAATCTGTTCCCAGGTTTCCATTCCCCATTCCAGTGAGGGCTTAGTCAATGGATGCCCTGACCAGATTGGGAGGGGTTTTCCTGAGTTCTGGCCTCTCCTGCCTCATTGAAATCTGTGTCCACTGTGACTATAAGGATGCATAGACTGACATTAACAAACTGGCTTGGCCGGGCGTGGTGGCTCATGCCTATAATCCCAGCACTGTGGGAGGCCGAGGCAGGCAGATCGCTTGAGCTCAGGAGTTTGGGACCAGCCTGGGCAACATGTGAAACCCTGTCTCTACAAAAAAAAAAAAAAAAATTAGCCAGGTGTGGTGGCTCATGCCTGTGGTCCCATACTCAGGAGGCTAAGGTAGGAGGATTGTTTGAGCCTTGGAGGCAAAGGTTGTAGTGAGCCAAGATTGTGCCACTGCACTCCAGCCTGGGCAACAGAGTGAGATCCTGCCTCAAAAAGAAAAAAGAAACGAAAAACAAAAAGAAAACAGGCATTTAATTTTTTTCCCATTTCTCTTAAGCAAAATAGATTGTCTACTAAGTGCTAGACATTTTGTTAATTGCTCCCCATATGATGGCAACAATCAAGCTCCCACAAGCTCACAGCCAATAGAGTATTTAATTTGACCAACAGGTAATAGTTGAACTTCAAGGGGAACAACAGATGATGAGCTCCTAGGCTTTGAGCTGGGTTTGTTCGTTTGTTTATTTTGTTTTTGTTTTTGAGACAGAGTCTTGCTCTGTCACCCAGGCTGGAGTGCAGTGGTGCGATCTTGGCTCACTGCAAACTCCGTCTCCCGGGTTCAAGTGATTCTCCTGCCTCAGTCTCCCAAGTAGCTCGGATTACAGGCACACGCCACTACGCCCAGCTAATTTTTGTATTTTTAGTAGAGATGGGGTTTCACCATGCTGGCCAGGCTGGTCTCAAAATCCTGACCTCAAGTGATCCACCTGCCTCGGCCTCCCAAAATGCTGGGATTACAGGCATGAGCCACCGTGCCCAGCCTGAGCGGGGGATTTTGATGAGAAAACCCAAACGGAAGAATATATTAAGACTTCCCCAAGGGCAGGGACTGCATTTTCCCCAATAGCATATTACTCAGTCCTGGCACATCAGAGGCACTCAATAAAATAGGGGCTCTTTAAGTTTTTCTTCAACAAATACTGTTTGAATACCCAGTTTGTGTAGGGTAACATTTTAGGAGCTTTATATATATTATCTCATCTAATCCAATACTAACTTTATAAGGAAGAGAGTATAACTCTATGTTAAAGGTGAGGAACTGAGGGTCAGGGACGTTAAGTCACAATATACCTAGGGCTAAAAAGTAAGCTTTGAAGTTGGGCATAGTGGTTCACGCCTGTAATCCAAACACTTTGGGAGGCCAAGCGGGGAGGATCACTTGAGGCCAGGAGTTCACCCAGCCTGGGTAGCAAAGCGAGACCCCCGTCTCTACAAAGAATAGAAAAATTAGCCAAGATTGATGGCATGTGCCTGTAGTCCTAGCTACGTGGGAGGCTGAGGTAGCAGGATCACTTGGGCCCAGGAGTTGGAGGCTGCAGTGAGCTGGGATTGTGTCTCTGCACTCCAGCCTGGATGACAGAGTGAGATCTTCCCTCTCTCAAAAAAGTAAGATTTGAAACTAGATCTGTTTGGCTGCAACGCTTACCCTGTTTTTGAATATACCATAAAAATAGGGAGGGAGAGTGAGATGGAGAAAAGGAGAAAAAGAAAAGGAATGTAAAATAAAATAGGACCCCTGCCTCAGAGGAGCTGTTAGCTGGCAAGGATATGAACTCAGGCAATATTTCCTCTGAATACATGAGTTTTAAAGGCAGATCATGAAATAATCCAGAAGTGTGGGGCATTACTATTGCTAAATGAGAGCTCTATGTGTCAACAGGAAGATAGTGGAAAATATAATGTATTTGGCACTAAAAAGCCTGGGTTTGGGTCACAGCTCTAGAATGTTCTAGATATTTGATCCCAAACAGGAAATTTAACCTTCTGGAGCTTCAATGCACTGACTCGTAAAATGACAATGATGGTTAATAAGCCCACAGGGCTGTGGGGCTCAAGTGACCTAAATGAGGAAATGCTTTGTAAAACAGTTAAAGTCCTGGGAAAATTCACTGTGCTTATTTCGCAAATGTTTATTTAGCAAGTATTAGGTTTCTCCATTTAGTGATAGGACATTTATCTGACATCAAATGGAACAAGGGGTTTATCACAAGATGTGTGTTGCTTTTGGAAATGCCAGCAGGCAAACAGCACAGTCCCCTTCTGAAATTACTACTCACTATGAGGAAGAAAGGAAGAAAGGAAGGAAAGGAAGAAAGGAAAGTAAGAAAGAAGGAAGGAAGGAAGGAGGGAAGGAGGGAAGAAGGAAAGGAGGGAGGGAAGGAGGAAGAAGAAAAGGAAGAGGAGGGAATGAATACTAAACTACATTAACCAGAAATATTTGATCTCCCAGGAAGAGTAAGGCATTTACAGTGGCACTACAAGCGGAAGCTGTAGTTTGTTGCAGCTTATGGTGGAAGAATCTGGTTGTGTCCAGACCCAGCTCAATGCCTTACCCACAAACACCACTGCTTTCTTCCCTATGGGAGGCCCGAAAAGGCCCTTCCGTCGTCGATCCAGCTTGGACATGATGATATCCTGGGTCTGATTGGCTGAGGTTCTGGCAGAGAAATTGAGGCAGTTGGGCAGGTACATATTCTTGGGAAGGTGGAGAAGGAAGTTGTTGGTGATGGCTGACTTGCCAGTGCCTGTGGGGCCCACAAACAGCGTTGGAATCTCATGGTCTAAGTAGGTTTTCAAGAAGAAGGACTGCCGGGCTGTCTCCATTGTGGGGATGATGAGTTCTGAGACCTGTACCACACAGACATGGGAGAGTCTTGGTCCTGGACCCAGAAAGCTGGGGGTCTTGGCGTTTAAGAGACCTGGGTTTACATTCTAGCTCCATCCCTTACTATCTTTATGACCTTAGGCGAGTCTTTAACCTCTCCACAGGCCTCAGTTTCTTCATCTGTAAAATGGGGATAATAATGGCACCTAATTCACAGAGGTGGCTTGAGGATTAAACAAGATCATGCATGTAAAGTTAGGCATTACCGTCTGTGTGTTGTAGATGAGAAGACTGAGGTCGAGAGCCTTTCTGCAACTTGCCCAAGTAACACAGTAAGTAAGTGAAAATGCAGGGAGTTGAATCCCAGCTTGTGTGATTCCAAAGTCTACAGTCTTCACTACTGAATGGTCATATTACAAACAGTTATGGTAAAGATAGGTCCATAGCTGCTATGCTCCTAGAGCATTGCTCTGAACCAGCTTGTCTCCCTTGTCCCAGGCGAGGTCGACTTCCCCTATGCCATCGTCACTGCCTGGCTCAGAGGGTGTAAGTGTGATCCTGAATCCCCATGATCTGTGCTTGTTTCTGATTTGTTTTTTACAACACTTACATCCTTGGTTAAAAGACCCACCCCTACTAATCCCATGCCTTTTCCAATATGGGGATTGTATTAATACATACTCTTCCTGGTATTCAGGTCCCAGTTGGACTCGTAAGGCCTGGTCTCAGGCTCCTGGAATCCCTATTTGGACAGGACACCTGACCTTGGTTTGGATTCTCTGAGCTTGAACCCTTTCATCAGCCATTTGGCTACATTTGGTCCCTCTGTGGGTGAAGGGGAAGAGGCAGGAAAATTATATCATACACTGAAGTCTCCTTCTATGTCTAGGCTGAAAGGGACTAGAACTTGGGGCCACTGTGTTGTACAACCACAACACAGTACCATTCACACTATGGATCATGTCAATGGCACCTCCTAAAGCAAAACTGGACCATGATGCAAATGGCATCACCTAGGTCTGTGCAACATGGCGGCCCCATATATACTGGTAGACAAAGGCTCAGCTTCTTTCTGCAAGTAATTTGATCAAAGGAAAAGAAACAGATGAGACAAGGGAATTAAAGTTAAGAAGAAGAGAAGTAACAGGTGCTTAACTATGGGTGTTTTGCCTGTATTACCCCCTACAGTCTTCCCAGTAACCTTCTAAGGCAGGTATGTAATAACACAGATGAAATAATGGAAGCTCAAAGAAACTGGCTAACTTATCCAAAGCCATATAGCCAGCAAGTGATGCTGAATGCAGACCTAGATTCAAGATGCCCATTTTGCTACCAAGACTGGGAAGTTAAAGCAAGTTGGGTTTCATAGATGTTTATTTTCAGGAACTAGGACAATTGTTTGACAAGGGAAAAATCTCCAGAACTGAAGATATTTTCTTCATTGGACTCTTTTACTTGAATTAATTCAGCAAGATTGTAAATCCCTGGAGCTCAAGTGACTAAGCTCTTTTTGGAGAATTAAAGTTTAGGACCTCAGTGCTGGGGGTTGCTTTACAACACTCAGCCCCCAAGGTGTGTCCTGAAGTCAGCACACATTCACCCTGCCTGACACATCCTTACACGTACAGCTGTGGTCCTGCTTGGTGTCTGATATGGCTGTCAATATCTGTACTTTGTCCACCACCTACCACTCCACGCAGGGCCTGAACAATCTCCAGTCACTTCAGAAAGATAAACTATGCCCACTAGATTCTACTAACAGGGACATAAAAGCTCTCTGAAAAGATATTCCACAAGGATTGAAAAGAGCAGGAGTTGTAGGTGAATCATTTTCCAATCAGAAAACTTATTAATCAGAACCTACTTTTCAGAGAATTCTGATCAAGAAAATCTTTCTCTGAGGATTCGAAGAATCCTTTTTTGCTGAGATCACTGAGAAGCACATTGATGACTCTCTGGTATTATTATTACTATTATTATTATTATTTGAGTCAGAGTTTCGCTCTTGTCCCCCAGGCTGAAGTGCAATGGCGCAATCTCAGCTCACTGAAACCTCTGCCTCTGGAGTTCAACCAATTCTCCTGCCTCAGCCTCCCAAGTAGCTGGGATTATACGCGTGTGCCACCACGCCCAGCTAATTTTGTATTTTTAGTAGAGATGGGGTTTCACCATGTTTGCCAGGCTGGTCTTGCACTCCTGACTTCAGGTGATCCTCCTGCCCTGGCCTCCCAAAGTGCTGGGATTACAGGTGTGAGCCACCACGCCCGGCCAGTACCTGGTATTATTGATAATGACAATAATCAGAATAGCAACAAACACTGATGTAACCCCTAGTGTGTGCCATGTATTCATGTATAACACCTCCAACCTCTGCAACCATAAATGTTCCCCGCACCGCCATTTTTTGGGTGAGTAAATTGAAGCCGAGAAAGGATGCTGTGTCTCTCTGATTCTAAAGCCCATATTTTTGAAGGTCCAGTGCAGCTCATGTTTAAATATTTTTCTTTTTTTTTTTTTTTTTT